AAAAAAAAAAAAAAGTATTGTTTCTAGCTCTTTTAATATGTGGTTTCAGCTGGAAAATGACCTCTTGGCATTGTTCTCTGTCAGGGGCTTCTGTGTGGGTTTTGCTGACTGTCATCGTTGCTAGCTCAGTTTATTTCCAAGTCGAAAAAATGTGAAGAAGATCTTCATTCTTAAATTAATTAATAGTCGCATTTAGACTTCGTTCTTCTCTTTCGCTGCGGTTGCATCGTCAGGTTAGGTTGCTTTTCTGTTGTTAATGAAAACAAATTCTGTTGTTAGGGATTATTTTGTTTTCTGTGTTTCACTATTAACAGCCACCTTGCTGCAATCGTCCCCCTTCACAGACTGGGTGATGGGGGGTCTGAGAGGACAGGACTTCATTTTTCATTGAGAGGTGTGTCCTGCCACTCAGCGAAGTAACATTGCCCTCGTAATGTACATTCTAGAGAACTTCTTAAATGAGACAACTTCTGTATAAAACCACTAGCTTTAGAGTTAATAATGGGGGTTCCAGTGTGCCCATTGGGCTTGAATGTGTGTTCCCTGTGACCTTCTCCTGATGCTGTCCTATTAGTTTCAGTGGAACTATTACTGATGCCTTCATACACTGATGGGAGGAGCCTGCGTTTTTCCAGTGGAATAAATGTGCCTGTTTTGTGTTAGCGTTCTTAGAAGTCCTTTTCACACCTTTAGCATAATGCTAGGGAAGAAATGTAACTGGATGAAAGAAAAATGTGCTGCAAGGACCATTGTCTTTTAAAGGAAAATGAGCTGCTTTCCCATTTCAGTAAGTCTTCCTTCGGGCCCTTTCAGAACAGAGTCTGTTTCATATCTAATTTTAGCCAGAGGGAACTTTTCTAGGTATTGGCTTTTAAGGCAATCGGTGGCCTCTGCATAAATGACTGTTGCTGATCGATTGTGTGAGGACAGGCTGGACCAAACACACCTGCTGAAGAAGTTCATCTTGCCAGCTTTGCTGGCTAGGATCAGTGATACAGTTAGTCTTTCAGTTAGTCTTTCTTTTTTTTTTTTTTTTTTTCCCTAAAGGAAAAAGAGGGGGAAAAGGCAGGAAATTAAAACCCAAAATGAAATTGTCTTTTTTTTTTTTTTTCCTTCCCCTACAAAAAACTATCGTAGTAGAGCTGTAGCCGTTTGTTATTTTCACTAGCAAAAAGTCTTCCCCCATGTTTGTGAGCTTCCATTTCCATTCCATTCAAAAAGTTGTGGACAGACTTTTATGAAGTAATACAATGAAATAGCGGAAAAACATGCTAGGGTTGCCCTGGGCTGTTTTCCTCGCCCTGCCTACAGATCCCTGAAACAGTGCATCTGCATGAGTACCCTCAGGCTCTGCAGACATTGGCACTCCAACACCTTCATACGCTCTTCAATTGCACTGTCAGTGGTTAGGTTTTAAAATATGCTCCCAGTGGAAAGAAGTCACATGGTTTAGTCTTTATCCTGCTTTTGATCCCAATTCAGTGGAAAATGGTAACACATAGAAAAGTAAATACTGTTCTAGATTCTCCTTTTAAAGTAAAGAGGCTATGTATCGCATCAGTGATGGTGTATGCTCACAGTCCAAGTTTGTTAATTAAATGAGATAGTTCACTTTTGTTCATGCCATCATCTGGTGTTATCAGAACTTAGCTAAGAATTCAGTGAAGGTTGCAGTGACGTACTGCTGTTGATCAACTTCTGATGTCCCACAAGAGCTCTTGTTGAAGCAGGAGCTCTTAATTTTTCAGCTATCTGTGCAAGGGTTTGGGCTACCAAATATCATCAAGAGAACCTTCTGTATCAACTATTTTGAAGTGAACTGTTGACAGAACACTTGCAGCGAAGGAAGCTCTATTCATTAATAGCAAACTTCCCCTTACAAAAGGTGCAGGTGTCCCAGATTTCTCAGAGGGATAAAGGTAGTCTATATTCTTCCTGTATTATTACCAGTTTAGGTTACTTTTAATGTGAAGTCTGCCTCGTGTTGCAGTTCAGAAAGACTCAGTAAAAGGGCATTCCCTCCCACCCCCACCCCCCCTTGGAAAATTTTTAAGGAGTTTTTACAAAATCGATCTGTGCTGTAGTGGGTTTTGCCACCGTTTTCCCACTCTCGTTCTTGTAATACAGCTGGACTACTGTAGGCAACAGGATCAAATCAGAAGAGAGCCTTTTTTGCACTGCAAGTGATAATCAGAAGCAAGGTAAAGTAAATGCGGATTTTCTGACAGTATTCCTGTTGTCTTTTGATGTTACCTCTCCAGCAAGTTAATTCTAGACAAAATTATGTCACTATTACTACACATGTTTTCAGTGTTAGACATTTTCTGCCTTGCACACGTACAGCAAAACATCTTGCGCTTTGCCCTTCAATTCCTCCAATGCCTGTAAACTTTGGCTTAGAGAATTCTTTGTTAGAAATCCGAAACTAATGCTGGTTTTAAAACCAAGATTTGTTTATTGGTGCTCAGAACCCCTGCTGTGGGGGAAAAAAAGTGCTTATTGTGTTCTATTCAGCAGAAAAGAATAGCATCTCTTCTATTCAGTGAAACGCATCATAGCTCCTCATTTCACTGCCAATTAGAATGAGTGTACCCGTCTGCCAGCACAGGTTATACGCTCTAGATCAGTTTGTTGTGCAATGGAGAGCTGTTGGAGAACATTATATTTTATTTAGCTTTGTGTAGTAATTTTATTGGTGTATATTTGGAATTAAATTATTTTATTACTTATTCATGGAACATGAGATTGCTTCTCAGTCCCCGGTAGAGGAGGATTCTACAAGTTTATGACTGTTTCTGGTCATGTTAGGCTTAAGTACCTAAGTGGGCTGGTGGTGATACTATACCCTGTGTTCTCAGGGCCCATGGATGTGTTTATATTTTTGTTTTTACAGTAGCAGAATTGAATGTCTTGGAAGACAGCGATGGCTTTTTCTTTAGAATTTGAATATGGAGGCCACAGGGACAGATGAAGTAGAAAAGATAAAATCAAAGTTTATGTCTGCATGGCACAACATGAAATACAGTAAGTGATGCAGTGGTAAGATCCGGTCTCCATTGAAAGGAATGGGATGTTTCTTGCTGACGTATATGGGATCATGATTAAGAAAGTTAACTAATACTACTAATAAAAATGCAATATGGCCCTTGAAACCATTTTTACTTTGATGCTATAAACAGCACAAGTAAACAAACTTCTTTAGCTTTTAATTTTTCAAAAAAATTTGCATAATTTCTTTTTAAATACTTATTTTTAAAACAGTAAATATATTATGTAAATGACACGTGATTTGCATAGACTTTTAAACAGGGATAATATGGAATCATCTGTGCAGACTTTTTATTTTTATATATGTACTTTTCTGGATAAAATAGGATGGTGTGTGAAATACAAACTCCACTGAAGAATCTACTTAACATGCTTGAGTAACGTATTTTTCCATAGTTGAACTTCAGTAATTTGTTTATAAGCAACCAAATTTTCAAGTGTGCCCTTTACTAATCTGTCCTTAACCTTAATTTTTCTACTTTCCCTCTAGGACTGAGGTTGCTCAGATTTACCACCAGGTTTCTGCTAAATTTTGTTAATTCTCATAACTGAGCCTTGGAGGTATCTGGCAAGACGAAAAGATACTTTTCTTCTACTTTCTTTGAGGCTACCACATGGCTGAAGGGGAATAGTAGTCATTATGCCCTATACGTGATAGGAAAAGTTCAAGGAACTCTATGGATTTAGGACATAAAAGACCATAGAAGACTTAAGTGAAAAAGCTACTGTCAGGGGACGTTGTCAAAAACCAAAAATTGAGTTCTAGCCCTTTGAATTTGTACGGTGTTATACTATGCTTTTGTCTCTGAAATCTGCAGTTTCATTTTGTGATAAACTATGTTTAATCCTATGGGTAAAGCCGTACTCTTCATGCATTTTCACTGGTCAGATGGGGAGCTTATCGTATGTTATTGTAGAAGTTGGAAGCCTCACAAAATCAAACGACGCAGTCGGGAATTCACAATAGAGACAAAGAGCTCAGCTTTAGTATTTCAGTATCCTAACACTTTCTGCATGGTAGTACCATTGTATTAACATTCAAACAAACATTCATACATGGGTAGCATCGTTACTTTTAAACTACAGCTCTAATCTCTGTTTTGTAGAACTATTAAACTTTTTGTTATTTATGAAAGCAAAACCAAATTTCAGTACATTTTCTCTGTATTCCCCTTTAAAGGTTACCTTTGGCTTAACCAGATGCTATTAGCAATTCCTTTTTGGAATACTTCAGTCACAAATTTGTATTTGTGTTGTGTCTGTCTTAGGTTGGGTGTTGAAAACAAAAACTTACTTCAGTAGAAACTCTCCAGTCTTTCTGCTGGGAAAATGTTACCACTTCAAAACTGATGGTATGTATAGAGCACTTAACGCTTTCAAGTCTTATTTGGCAGGAGCTCTGTGGATATATTTTTTAATCCTCTAGAAAGACGATCATTAACAATTACCAAATTCAAAATGTAAATATGAAAAGCTTAGGAGATACTCACTTAAATGCAACCCATCCTAACCTGCTTTATTCAGATTTTACACTGAAGTCTTGTTCTTTCTGTAAATGTTAGTGCTGTGGTTTGCCCTTTACTTCATTTACCTATCAATTTGAGATTTTCTTTCTAAAAACTCCTGATTGAAATAGTGACAATACCTGTACAGAGAGTCACTACACTAACAACTTCATTATAATTTTCCAGTGTGCAGTTTTCTAAGAATCTCTCTCTATTTGAACATTTACATTTAGGGGAATTAAGCAGTTGCTTACTTGCAAGTCAACGATTCCATTGGCATTGTAATGTTGACTGTGTGGATCTTTTTTGGTTTTTTTTTTTTTTCCCCCCAGCTGGCACATTTCTATTATGTTTGCCTTCCAATTTCCGTTTCTTGTATTTGAAGCCATTGTTACTTTTTGGAAGTTTTCCCTGTGTTTCTAATAAAACAGTTGTATGGTTTTTACTTTGCTTCTAGTAACAGAAGTGCCATGCCAAGTTGTAACTTAAACTGTGCTTTCCCTTGCAGAATCTGGTGAACTTTCTACAGGTGGGTCCAATTTTGACAAAATCAACGCAGAGATTTCAGGAAACGTTGAGGAGTTCCGTAAAGATTTTATTTCTAGAATATGGCTGACTTACAGAGAGGAATTTCCTCAGATAAAGGGGTCTGCGTTAACAACAGATTGTGGTTGGGGTTGCACACTGAGAACTGGTCAAATGCTGCTGGCTCAAGGACTTATGCTTCATTTTCTTGGTAGAGGTAAGTTAGGAGAGAAGATCTCTCTATTCGGCATGATAAACATGAGCATTCTGTAGAGAGTGTGATGGCCTTCATGTAGCCCAATCTAAAGAGCAAGCTGGTTTTGATTCTGGACTCCTCATTAATACTGGAATCGTTACATTGCATCAGAGCAGTGATCTAGCTGTCCTGCTCTTCCATTTCTGAAAAAGGGAATACCAAAGGGTGTCAGAGGAAGATACTGGAAACGCCATAGAAGCTAACTGTGAAGTAAAATACCACAAAAATTTGGGATCCCATACCCTGGGTATTGTTATTATCCATGCGAGTGTCCAGTTCTCTTGAAATTTGCTCATTTCTTGAACTCAGGATGTGGAATGAGTTCCACAGCCCGTAGCTGTGGGCTATGGCAAAAGTGGTGTTCTTTTGTCATTGTTAAAGCTGTACGTGACTCAATTTCTTCTAGTATTAATATACTGAGTTAATAGAAGGATTCTAATCTAACTTCAATATCTCATTCTTTGTGTTGAAATTTTCACTATTTAATTTCTTCCATTCCCTTCCATGCGCTTTCAGGAAACTTCCTTTTTTTCCTTATTATTGTCTATCTCAAAATACTCTTTCAGGCACAGCTGTTTGAGAGAGGTAGCTTTAGGAAACTTGGAACACTTTCTGCTTTCAAAGGCTAAGCGTGTGTGTCCTCCCCATTCTTCCAAGATGAGCCATGTCTTGCGTAGAGGTATTTTTGGTTCTCATAGCTAACCACCTTTTCTTTCCATCCTCTTCTCAGTCCCTTTCATAATCTGCCACATTGCCCCTTTCAACAGTCCGTCATGTCCTCTGTCACCACTGCTTGTTGTCAAACTGATCCAAGACGCAGGCCTGAAGCCACCCGGGCATGCCAGAGAGAATACAGCGTATTGTTTACTCAACCATTTGTTGGATCCCGGGAATACTTTAGTAGAAGATAGTTCTGAAAGCCTGTTTTGATAATACTTTGTACTTACTGTGCAAATATGATGTAAGCTGTGAACATAGTCCCAAACCAGCTGCATCACAAAGTCTTCTTTCTTGGCAGTGTCATGCCTGAACTGTCAGATTGGCTTACTGAAAGTTCCTTTTGCTGGAGATACTTAAGTCGTAAAACGTTCATTATCCATCTCAGCTGACTGCAAATATCAAAACGTATGAAAATACTTCTGCTGAGAACACAAATCCCTTAAATACTTTTTGTTATACGTACATTTTGAAAAAAGATTTTAAATCTGATGGGAAGACTCCCTCGGGGTAGGAATGCGTAATGGCTCGTTTTGAAGTAACCCCGAATGAAAAGGCCCCATCTTTCTATCTTTAAAATCCATAGTTACAAAGAATTCCTTGCACCGTCCCCCATGCATCCTAATTTGGAAGGTGATTTGATGATTCCAGAGTGCTAGTGTTTCTGTGGCAATCCAAATGCCTAGAAAAATGGAATATATGTGGTCTTTCTGGACTACTTTTCTCATCACCTAGTCTGACAGCTGGTGAATTATCTTTTGAAAAGCTTTTTATGAGGTCTGGGTAGCTTTTGAAACATATTTAAGTGTTTACATGAAGTTTTTCATCGCTGTTTACACTTTTCCCAGAGATGTTTTCATTATAGTTTAATGATATTGTTTCTGTTACAAAGCAAAACTTAACTGCAGTTACTAGCTGGAATACTTACACTTCCACTGCTATGTGGAATGTTCCAGATATTGCTGAATGAGGTTGTAAATGAGTTTTTATTTTCAATATTAAGGTACTGCTAAGTTTTACTTTGAAATGCCTGTGCTTAAGACATTAGCTTAAATTTGGAGCTCACAGTACAGGAATAGCAAGGCCTGTGATTTTGTTATGTTGATCTTACGCACGCATCTGCCTGGGTCTGCAATGAAAAATTCACACGAGGTTTGGCAGAGGGGTGCCGCTTGTGGTACGAGGCATGGCTGCGGGGTGGTTGTCACGCTGTAGTAAAATGACATGGGTTATGGCCATTACCAGCAGTACTTGTGACATACTGAGCCCTAGGTAAGATTTTTAGAATTAAAATATAGTTGCTTCTATGCTTCCTCTTTGTTTCTCAAAGACTTTTACATGGATACTTCAGTAAGAGTTAGGGGGAGGGCTGCAGTCCTTGCTCTCTGTCAGACAGGGTTCCTCTCGCTGCTGTAAGGTCAGGGTTCTGAACCTCTAGGAGCTTGCCCAAATCTGGCTCAGTGAGCACAAACACCTCATCTGTAGAGTTTATTCCTCACTTGCACATGGCAGCCTTCCCCTTGCCTCCTGGGATGGTTGCTGTGGACCTTCAGGGTATGTTCTGACCTAACAGTACATTCGCTGTGTTTCAGAGGTTTTCTCACATGCTCTGTGTTGCAAGTGGTTTGAACTTGTGGGAGAGACACTCAGTCATCTGACAAGGGAAGCATTACTGTCCCCTAGATGTGCTGAACCACCACTATGCTGTAAGAGGAAGGCTGTGTGTGGGATTGGCTGTTAGAGAAACCTTTAGCTAGAAACCCAGACTGTGCTGAATAATATTTGAACAAGTTTGTCTTGTAATTTAGGTAAAGAATTCACAAATTTAGTGAATAAAGAAATCTTTTCCATTTCTCTGCTGATGTGCTTTGACATTTTGCCAGGAAGAAGTGTTTGTTTTCACACGAATAATTCCTCAGGTTTGCCTATTTTTTTAAAATAACTGACAAACCAGAAGAATTAGAAACAGCTTTTGAATCTTCTTGTTTGACATGGATAAAACTTAGTTAGCTGAATAGCTAACTTTCTTATTTTTCATATGTAAAATAGTTCTAACTTGTGCCTTGTAGTCAGGTATATCTTGTATGTTTAACTGACTGAGATCCTGGAGTCTGACCTCTATCTCAGATAGCATAAATTGCTAACAAGTTACTGTTTGTAGTCTTTCATGTCACCTATCGTTCAGCGGAAAATAAAAGCAAATTATACTCCTCTCAAATTCTTTGTTTACATTTTAACGCTGACATTTACATCTTGGTATGTAAAGTACATGTTAGTGGTTTAAGGAACATGGGGGAGAAAGGGATGTGCTTTGCTAATTATATCAAAAAGTTAATATTAAGCCTAATATGCATCTTAAAACTTCTTGCTGCAGCCTGGGTCTGGCCAGATGCGTTGGACATCGACAATTCAGATTCTGAATCGTGGACAGCCCATACAGTGAAAAAGCTGACAGCATCATTCGAAGCATCGCTTACAGCAGAAAGGGAACCCAAGATCCTGTCAAATCATCATCGGGGAACGTTAAAGAGAAACTGTGATGACAATGAAATGAGAAATGAAGTTTACCATAGAAAAATAATTTCTTGGTTTGGCGACTCTCCGCTGGCGGCTTTTGGTTTACATCGGCTAATAGAATATGGAAAGAAGTCTGGAAAAATTGCTGGGGATTGGTATGGGCCTGCAGTTGTTGCACACATTTTAAGGTAAAAAATACCTTTATTCTTTGTTGTTACTATGCCATATGCATTACAGGAGAAGCATTTCAAGGTGTCATGAGATTACTTCAGCTTATCTGAGCATCTAACGGTTCATTATTGGCTCTGTAAAATGTCCGTATTAGTAGCAATTCTAGAGATTTTTTGGAGGCAGGAAAGGAAATCGCAGTAGGTGCAGGAGCTGAACCTGAGCTTTTGTTCAATCTTATTTCAGGGAAAAAACCCCAATATTCCTGTTCTCCTGTACTTTGGGCAGGAGAAGTCCCAGGTATCTCTCCCAAACCTAGGCTTTTTAATAGAGCTGCATTTAAGGAAATGTTCTAAAAACTAACCACTCTTTCAACCTTGGAACATGCATAACATTATAGATTTTTTTTTTTTTAAATACTGTAACCTGGGGGCTGTAATGTACTGATAGTGTAATGAAATGTCACAGCTAAAAATTGATGTTTTCAGCATTTCTTTGCACACATCAAATTCTTGTGAAACTGTAAATGTATGGGACTATTAATATTATAATTAAATCACAGTAAAAGTAAAGGGTCTGTGACATTCAGTGTGGTTAAAAAAAAGTCGAAAGTCAAATTTCTTCGTACTATGTGCCTTTATATGCCATTTCTTTGAATATTACTGATTTTTGTTTTGTTTTGTTTTATAGCCTTGTATGCTTACGTTCTTAGTGGATTCCAATTTACCTATAAACCAAATCACTAATAACTCATTTAAGCAGCAGAAGCCAAAGTTCACACGTGTTTTTATATATACATATATATATATATATGAACAGAAGAATTTGGTATTTAGTTTAAAAATATATTGATCTTAAGTGAACCAATACTGAAATAATCAGGTGTGCATTATTTATGTGTTTTCTTCTATTTTGTTTCTGATGATAGAAAATGTCAGAATTCTTTTTGCTTGCTTTAAATTGCAGCAGCCTGTTTACCTAATGGGAGCAGGGGTGGCATTTGGTGCAGAATTACATTCAACACAAACCCAGCAGTGATCTCCAGCACTGCAAAGATTTCCTTTCCCAGATCTCCTTTCTCTCTTACAGCAGTACTAACAATGTACAGCTCTCTCGTAACTTGAGAACAACTGCATTAAACAATTCCTCAGAAATATATTGTGAAATAAAGGGATAATGACCATTTAATGCAAGCTTGTGTTGAAGTCAAAGGCTAATCTTCTATTTTGAACAGTTCAATTGCTTTAAATATGTTGTCCTTGACTGATGATCATGCTTTGGACAATCGACATATATTTTGTTTTTAGTTTTTAGGTCCATTGCTCTTACTCTTTTGAGGATAGCTTAATATCTTTTTGAAGGTTTTGATGAAACCTTACGGATTTTTATGTACTAGCCTTTATTTCCATAGACATTAGGTGCTAATTTGTGGCTTGTTATATGAAATGAGGTCAACTAAAGAGATTATCAAGTTGAAAATAATATTTTTGTCAGCAGATTTAGCCTTTATATCATAGAATCATATCCCAGAATACATAACAGAAAATAGTTATAAACAGAAAGAAATTAGGTAGTGAATATGAACTTTGTGGTCTGTTAATGTGTTTCTTTGGGCTGTTTTTTGTGGTTTTCATTGTTTCTTCTAAATAGCCAGACATCGTCATCTTTCCTTGGGAAAAACATGTTGCCATACATGCTGGATCTTGGTATCCAGTGTTTAAAAATAAACAAACAAAAAACCCCCAACAACAAACAATTAAAACCAACCTGTTTCTAAAAATTAAATAATTTATGTTTATTTACTGTTAATTTCTTTAAAATCAGAGATGAGTTAAATAGTTTTGTGTTTGTACTTAGAAAAGCTGTTGAAGAAGCAAGAGACCCTGAGCTACAAGGAGTAACAGTCTATGTTGCTCAGGATTGTACAGGTAAATGTTGTAACTATGTAGATTTTTGCAAACATTTTAGATGCTTTTTGTGCCTTTCACTTAAGTGTTCAGAACTTAAGAAGTTCACTTAAGCACTTTAGAATAGAGCTCTAAAGGAAGAAAATAAACTCAAAAATGGATCCCCAAAACTGAGATTATGTAGACAAAGAGGTTCTTGATATAAGCAGATGTTTGTTCCCTTTGAGAATCAGACATCACAACGTGAAAGCTTCGTGCGTTGCTTGTTTGGTATCTTGCAGTGGAAGACAGTGGCATTCCAAATTCAGCAAGATAACTTCTCTTAACAATCCACCTGTTGTAACGTTTTGTTTTTGATTTAAATCCGTTAATAATCTGTTCTGTACTCACTTCAACATTGTTTTAGCCATAAGCTAGTAAGAAATTCCATGTCTTACTAAAAATAACCCCCATAAACAACCAAACAATTGAAAAATACTTCAGTTAGATTTGTTAGTTACATTTTATTCGTCCTTTGCATTGCAGGATTCTCTTTTTACAGATTTTTCTAGTGGAAAAAACCCACTGCACCATTCTCTTAGACTAGTAAGAAGCCATGTCTAGTTGGAGTTCAGAGAGGTGCGCAGGACAGTGAACCTGAGCCAGTGGTAACCTTTCTTCTGCTCCAACGTGGCATTTTAAATAATCAATAACAGACAGAGGAGCTTAGAGCAGTGGATGTTCAGGAGCAGAAAATGATGACAAGATAAACGTGCGGTGAAGCTTTACACTAATGACAATGGTCTTTCAAATCTAAGCACGATGTATCACTTCACTGGCCATGTTTAGCTGCCAGAAATTTTAGTTATGTCATACCTGATCTTGGGATAGGACAGACAAGACCAACATCCCTGGGTAATCAATCAGCCTGGTTTTAAAGAGACACAGTTTAATCATACACTACAAACCAGTTTCACCTGACTTAAAATGGCAGTGGAAACTTAAAATTCAATTAATTTTTCACTTTGTTCTGCTGATGATTTTTTGCCCCTCTCTTAGTTTGGAGGGAATAAGCAGTAGCACTACATTAAGTTTTTCATTCATTTTCAATGACTGTGTTAACTTTAGACAGTGAACTGGAGTATTTATTGAAAGCAATTATTGTCTTTTTTCCTTTAACATGTAGATGTTTCTGTTAGTTGTAGGCTTTCAAGTTTTAAATTACTCCTTTTAGAAGAACTTTATATGAAGTGAATAAATACTGGCTTTCTCATAACCTACCCCTTCTGCATTTCCTTGGCAATGTATCTTACCTCAGCAGCAGCAGATTACCGTTCTACAAAACATGGCTGAAAATAAGGAGGCATAACATTGTTTTTCATCAGAGTCACTCAGGAGTTACATCTCAGGAGGACAGTAAGATTTTGGAGGACTGCAGTTTTAGTTTGTCAAACTAAGTGATGACATGTTGTGGGTATGTCTTTGTAAAACCTAGCAGTTATATTTTAAATATGAATATTTCCGTGTGTCTCCTTTCAGTCTACAGTTCAGATGTTATTGACAGACAGTGCTCTTTTATGGATTCTGGAAAAGCAGACACAAAAGCTGTAATTATACTAGTTCCTGTGAGACTCGGTGGAGAGAGAACAAACACGGACTACTTAGAGTTTGTAAAGGTATGAAATGAGAGTTCAATCATTTTTCAAATAGTAGCACTAGGTGATATGAAAAGCGACTTCTTGGTGGTAATCTTCTACCTATTAAATATGTGGTGGTGATTTTACAGTTGAAGGTTGTAAAGTTTGACTTTACAGATTTTAAATTTCCCTATTACAAGATCAGATATAATTGCAGAGCACATGATGTCCCTTGGTAAAGCACTGCTAACTGTCCTACTCCTGAAGTAGCTACTTGAAAAGAGATTAATGCAGTGGCTCAAATTACAAATGGTAATTTACTTACATATGCTATTAGAGTTGTGTGATATGAAGTATCAGTCAGCATTTTAAACTACAAATATACCAAATTCCTTATTCTGTTTCCTATTTTCTTAAATGTCAGATGTTGCTTGTCTGTTCTTCCCATTTTCTCTTGTCTTTTTCTTCCCCTCAAGAGAGGGATAGAATTTTTTGATATCTTTAGTCACTAGTTCAAGTGATTTTTTTTCACTATGTGGACATTAAGATGAACATTTCTAAGGACAGTGATACAGGAGTAGCAAGCAGTTACCACAAATAAAAATGAAGTGGAAAAAAAAGTAGAACTCAAGGAGAAAGCAGAGGGGAGAAAGGTCTGTGCTGACCTCTTGTTTTTTTCAGCAGAGGTTCTGCTTATGGTGCTAACACCTGAAGATGTCTTGTAATCCCACCTCTTGAGCACAGGAATACTTCCCTTGAGGAAGAGGTTGTTCTCTTAGCCCTGCTGCTTTATCATTTTCCATGCAGCTGTTTATCTGTCTTTAAATTCTTCTTTTAATTTTTAAAAAACCACAATGTGGAAGCAGGAACAAAATCTAACTTTTTTTTTTGGTGGTGGTGACTGTTCTCAGTCAAATTTTTGGAAAACATTGAGTGATGAACTGTTAGTGTTTTTCTTTCCTGATTCTTTTCCTTGTATTTTCAGATGGTTTTGGAAAAGTTTTAGTTCTTTTCTGATTAATTCTGACACAGTTAAGATACGCCTGTGGTCACAGACATGATCTACAGCAACCTTACTTTACTTTCAGTGTTGGCTGCAAAAAAAGCCCTTGGATCAGGTCCAGGAAGACACCCGGTGCCTTTGTTTGTAAGCTAACAAACAGTTGCTTCTGCAACTTCCATAAGGCTTTCTCAGCAAAAGACAAGTGACTCCAGTTCTTTAGTACTGGCTTTTGTTATTGACGGGTATCTATGGCTAGTTTCACCCTGCAGAGGGTTTCTCAATTCAGCTCTCAGAAACACTCTTGCCAGAGTGACATACATTTGCGTGGCACTGGGTTTCGTAGCACGGTCACGTTATTTAAGCTTGCCTTGTACAACTGGCTTGACTGGGATGATTTCTGCTGCTCATTTACCAAGCCTGGTACTTCCTTTTGCAGTCTGTTGTAATGGAGACTGTGATAAGAGGGCTTTCGATTGCGTGTATTAGTCACTCCAGTCTTGATCTTGACTGTTCACAAGAAGCGACTACATTTCTTGGGGACTGGATTTAAGTTAAAAATGCAGATTTTAGAATGTAGTACAAGAGGTAATTTTTACAAAGGATTTTATATTTATGGATGAAAATTGATAAATTTTTTATAATTCACTTTTACAAGAAAATTCCCATAGATTAAACAGTTATTCATTACTCTAAGTAGCTTTGCTCCCTTTCTGGTTCACTAGCAGAGGATGTGTCCTCCTTAGCTGTTTCAGGCTTTGCCTCTGATCTGCCTCAACGTTCTGTAATGCTCTCCCAACAAGAACTGTTTCCTAAAAAAGCCTTCTCCTTCGTATGTTAAATAAGCAGCACTTTCTCTTAACCCGTATAAACCGTGCTGAAGTTGAGTTTGTTGGCATCTCAGGTGAGGAGTACAAGTTTTCGTTGTTCCATTACTTCATTGTTGTCTAAGCAGAGAAAATTTTATCTCAAGAAGCTTTGGTCTCAGTAGCACATAAAATATCCATCATTTTGTTGAGAAAAATTTTCCCTGCTTATACAGTGATAATGTAATGGTTACACTTTTCATGGGTGTTCTCTTAGAGGAGAGGATATAGATATGATTGCCAGCTTATGGAGATTTTGCTTTAGCTCAACCGATAGTCTCCTGGATTGCTGTCCGAGTTTGGGCCAGCATCCCCAGTTTTTGGACCCAACACTTGTCTAGTGCCACAAGAAAACCACTGTGATTTATGGACATTTAAAGACTATTCAGTTTTCAGAGTATTTAATGGGCTTGGGCTTCAGTTACATTAGAACAGTTGGGCTCAGCTTTCCAAAGTGCTCAATGTTGGCAAAATTCAGCTCCCACTGGAGCTGGTGGGATAACTAATGGAGAACGGTGTTAAGCCAAGACTGAATAGTCACAAAAATCCTAATGAGCACTGGTAAGAAACAGAACCTCATGAAAGTGAGAAGAGTAGAAATATGTTGAAGGGAGAGGGAGGAAAGTCTTCCATGCCTTCTTCGATTCCTTTGCTAGATACTTTTAATAGAGAAATGATCAAGGGTGATTTCTTTGGTGTCTGTTGTCTGTGACTGCATCCAGAGCTCGTGGGTGGTAGAGGAATTTCAGTCCATTAAACTACTGAAATGTTCTCACCTTGGCAAAATGGCGTGTATACAGGTAAATCCTTCTCCCCAGCACGGGAAGCTGTATCCATAAAATCAACATTTTATGATGTGATGACCTGTCTGCTAGGTTTGTGTGCTAGCAGACACACGGATTACAGAATCCAGCTCTTTTCAACCTGAATGAACAGCAACACACTGGCAGCACTGGTCTGACTGTAGCCCACGGCTGCTATCCCAATGCTTCCTGTTCTTGGTGGCTCCTAGCTTTGCAGTGGCTGGAGGAGTGTATGTCTTCCTTTACACTTCCAGACTGAAATGATTCCTGCATTTCACCCCACGTCCCTCTTTAAATCCCATTAAGTGTGTTTGCAATGTGTCTTTCTCAAAGTTGCTACATGCTGATGGCTCTGATTCGTCTACCCTTGCAGGCAACACACAGTAAGATTTATGGGGCTTGGCTGTTGTGTGTCTGTCTCCTCCTGTATTTTGGGATGCTGTTTTCAGAGCTGTGTCTTATAATTACTCTTGCTTCAACTGGTATTTCTCCCTATGATGTAAAAGGTCATAGTCTAGACATTTGGATGCAGAAAGAGAGCCACAGAATGTAAATCTATATGAACTATGTAAATCTGAATACTTGGGTATCTGTTGACTAAGCAACCTGTGCTCAACTTGTATGACGTTACGTTTTGTCTCCTCCCCCAAAATGATACTGACAATTCTCCCAATGTATGGGCATCTCATGAAAAGGGAGGACTTTCTCTGGAATATCTGGTGGTGTGTTTTCATTTTGGTCAGTTTTAAGCTTCTAAAAATTGAGTCAAGCCCCAGAAAATCATTAAGTCGGTCTTTTAAAAAGAGAGAAAAAAAAGTTAAATGCCTAAAAATAGTAAAGAAAGAGCAAAGATTTTAGTTCTATTTACCACTGCCCTAATTATTTAATGTTCTGCCTATAGGGAATTTTAAGCCTTGAGTACTGTGTTGGTATTATTGGTGGCAAACCCAAGCAGTCGTATTACTTTGCTGGATTTCAAGGTTAGTGTTTTAATATGTTATGTCTCTTCAATATTTTTCTTTAAGAGTTAGGAAGTTAATATCGAACCAGTGGGAAATAGCATGATTAAAATAGCAAAATGAGTACCTTATTAATTCATCATATCTACCCAAGTCCAGTCATTTGTCATTTACCCCATAGAGTAATTGGATTCTGTAAAATGTACATTTAATTTCCATTGTTGCATAAACAAGGCGTAATTTATCTGTTTCACCAAACTTCAGGAGCATTTGCTGTTCCTATCTGGCAGTTCTTATTTACGTATTTACTTTCTTACTAGTTTAAATGCTGTTAGTTGGTGCTTAAATGACAAGCAATATATTCTCGCTGTCAGGATGAAGTAGCACAATGCATTTTTCATATGCAAACTCCAGAATATAATTGTGTGTTTGTAAAAGTAATTTTATCACCAAAAATTAAATGACAGTCTCATCACTTTATAAAAATTCTGCTTATACAAGCATATTTGATGATGCAAAAGTTAATCTGTCCTGCAAAAACCTATGCTTCAGTCAATGAATATCAGCCTGGCAAGCAGTTACTTGCTAGCGCGTTTTTTTCAGCTGTTCTGCATAGAAATTGGATTGTAAGCAGTGTAATAATAAGGTGTTTTTTGAATTACTTGTCTTCTGTTTTGTCCTTGTAGATGACAGTTTGATTTACATGGATCCTCATTACTGCCAATCTTTTGTAGATGTCAGCATAAAGGATTTCCCTCTTGAGGTAGTGTGGATATAGACCTGGCACTGTTTCCTTCCCATATGAATCAAACACTAATTATTTAGAGATGTTCTAGCTAGCTGCATCTTTATGGGTTTACAGTTACATGTTATTTATCTAAGTTCTGCCCTTTTTTATAGGCCTATAATCCACAAAAAATGACCAGAGGTTAAAAACTCAATATGAACTCAATATGGGGTTTTAATTTTTACTTCATTAGTCTTCATCTGTTTCTTTTTAATGATCAGAAAACCTCAAAACCAGACGATCATTTAAGTAATTTTCCATCAAAGAAAATAGACAATATTCATTAGACCTGAATTATTTGGAGTTGGTTTTGTTAGTTTGTCTTTTTGGTCAATTTTATTTTATTTTAAATTCAAGTTGCAATCAACATCGTGGAGAGAATTACTGTAGTGTTCAATAGTAGGAGCCTGTTGTTGGGTTGGAACCAGAGTTCCTGAAAGTTTACCTGCTGCTTCTTTACCCAGGAATTCATAACATTTCTATACTGGTATAGGTGGTTATAATTTTAAATGCAACTTTCGCTCCTGACAACTTTGCATGTCACTTTTTTAGCTTCATACAAGTAGAAATTTTTGAGGCCTGTCAGTGAGGTTTGTGACTGACTAGATGAATTTACTCAAGTCTTCTGAACAGTTTCTTTTAACGAGTTTTATGACTGTGTTTAATCAAGCTATCTTTATGGAATAGTAGTTGCAAGAAACTAACAGGTCTGAAAGTGTAAGTGCTGCATTTGTTTTTTCTTTCCCCTCCAACCCCTTTCTAGGCCACGACTTTCTGGGCACATCTAGATGTAGGGAATGTGTTTTTTCAGGCTATGCTTAGGTCTTAAAAATCATGCTTGTTTTTTTTTTTTTACAGTAATGTTTTCCCTTTTCTTTAACCTCTTGGCAAATAACTTGCATTGAAAATAGATAGAGCTAAAGGAGGTTGTTAAAGAACTCAATTTACAAGTACCATGGGAAAACATTATCAGTTGCAGAAGTAAGTGTTCAATAGCTGCAGTACTCACAGTAGAAGTACTTAGTGCCATCCATACAAACTCTCCTTCTTGACCTCGAGTCCAACTTCCACATGCACTTCCAGCCTCCTCGGAGCAATTCTTTATGCAGTGTAGAAACACTCCCTGGGTGCATCCACTGCTTAGGACACCATCACCTGCCCTGGAACAGAGTTGGTTATTAGTAGTGGTTCCTCATGCCACTGTGTTCTGTGAAGTGAAGTACTTGTAAATGTGGAAACACAGCTTCAGAAACAACATAATCGCATTTAAATAAGGAAGAGGAATATCTATTTATCTCCACCACCTCTAAAATGCTAGCTGCTTCATGTAGAATTGTTAAAGGTTTGCAGTAAAAGTCCTATAAACAGTGGAAGTGAATCGTACGCAACTCAAACTTGCCCCCGAGGAACTGAGAAGGTGATCTTAAATTGGCTGTTTATGCTTAGAATGTAAGTCAAATGGTGTATACTGAAGTTATGTTCTTCATGGCTTCTGTTTTGTATAGCAGCTAAGAGTTAACTTAAACTGGGAACAGTGGAGTGAATTGCAATGGTCCAGTCTGTTGTTATCATGAAAAGAAAGATCTGTTACATATGTTGCAGTTGATCACAGTACCTTAATCAAAATACTGTCAAATAGTATTTAGGAAAAATACTTAGATATATCAAAGGACCTAGATGGGGCTAACGTCAAATCCTAGGGTTGACTTGCAGTGAACACTACGTGTCTTTCAGTATTTATGCTTAACCAGCATTTGATTAGCATGACGTGTAATATAGGTGTATAAGATTCTTTAGAAAACAAGAGGGTGTTCTGAATTAAAAAAAGGAACATAGCAGCAAAATAAATCAGAAAATATCCAGGATAGAAACTTTCATTATTTTTAGAGCTGCCTTTAGATTTACCCCATTGAGATATTTGGAAAAAGAGTTGGTGAAGAAATAGCTCTACCTATTGGTATTGTGGCAGCAGCCAGAGATGATGACCAAGATCTTTGCCCCTTTATGCTAATAACTAGTAAAATACAGTGCTTTCTCTGAAGATTTTACAGTTTAATTGGGTAAGCCAGACAAAAGATGCACAAAGAAGCAGAGCTGAAGTGACTTTTTTAAGGTCACACCATAGCTCAGTGGCCAAGCTACAAAAAAAAAATCCACCTCTTTTTGGTTTCTGTTCCCATGGCTAATCCTTGGGATTATGCTGTGGACTGGCATTAATATGAATTTGCAAATAATAATGAGGTTTTAAAATGTATTTTGAAGGTACACGAGCTGCCAGCTTGACTTGGTCGCATCCTAATGCTTTTCTGCAGACAGAAAATATATTGCAATTTAATGCGTAGTGCATTTAATAGTATTATATCTTTGTCCAGAAATGTCAAAAGTAAACAGAAATTGCTTTCTTAGTGTGGTTAGTTGCTTGTTAGATTTATCTGTAGGGAGTATTTTCAAAATTGACAAATTGTCTAGAATAAGTTGGAAATCAATCCACTCTGTATTGGCTTCCAGAGTCCATTTGTTTGGAGGAGTGGGGAAAAAAAAAAAAAAAGCCTACCCACTTCTCTTTGTTGTCCAGTGATTTGTGTAGCGTTAAGACTCCTGCCCCGAACAGCACAGCACAACTGTAGTTGCAGTGTAGTTGCTGAAATGTGCTATGGAAGGCAGGGTTCGATTCATGTCTGTGATGACTCGGGAATGAATATTCCAAATGCAATTTCTGCATATAAAATTTGAACAGAATTAGGAGAAAAAACAGTGACTAAAATCAATCTTGTAGAAATAGTCCTTCTCACCTTTGCTTGTATTTTTTAGTAGAGGTTTAATAGTTTGTGTTCACAAGAACGGTATATTTCAGTATGTAAAACTGTTACACTGACAGGTACACTCAGATTAGGTAACTAGTGCTGTCATTGTCTGTAGCTTGACTTTTCTGATTGGCAAAAAAATAAAAGATAAAATGGCTTTCTAATCCACGGACTGCCTGATGTTAGCTGTCAGGGGTTGCTGCTGCTGTAGCCAAATTAGACAGTAACAGTCGTTAGTTATCCTTTATAGGGGAAACACAGTGGTGTTGGTCAGAAATCTGCGCTGCTCTGTCCTGGTGTTGTTCCTGTTGTGCGAGTAAGCTGTCCTGGTCCTGTGCTGAGCAGAAGAGCTGTGAGCTGTGCACAGCTTCCGTGGAAGAAAACAGTACAGAATATTCCCTGGAGAATATTGATCACTGGGGGAAGTTCCTGAAAACCTCAATCTGCATTTCAGTGCAGTGGTATCTCCGTTGCAGCGTGGTGCAGACATGGTGCAGTAGCATTTGTTACTGAGCGGCTGAAGCAGGGTTGCTGGTGATTTAACAGAGGCAGGATGACGGGGTGGTCCTGTGTGTTAGAAGCAGAATAACAAAGAGAGACAGTCACTGGTGACGAAATAATTTCAGTTACTAGACAATGAGCTCCACCAAAACTACAGTTCCTGTAATAAATAAACACAGAGTTAGTGTAGATACAATATGCTTCTCTTTTCTCTCATAAACTGTGAACCAGGAGCATGGGGAAGGGGCTTTTGTATTTGTTTTCTCTTACAGCATGGCTGGTGGTAGTATCAGTTCACAGCACTGTCAGAGCATCATCTGTCATGAAAAGAGATTTTACGTTAGGAGAAAAAACATTTATAAAGCAGGGCATGTTGTTTGGTTTTTTCCTACTTACGGATTATTTTAATATGGTTCTGCTTTTGTAGTTTTTGTTGGTTTTTAACCCATTTCATTTGCTAAAGGAAAATGCATGAAGTTGTTTTATTCCATTATGTCTCTTTTTATCGAGGCTGGGGGGGAGGAAGGGGCAATGGGCGGTGGAAGTAAAGCAGTAATTGTAAGATAGTGCAAAAGCTGTTACAAATTCAATTTGCAGGAGAGCGTTCGCCTCTTCTGCCTTGGGAATATCCATAAAGTAGCACTGGAGCAGCAGGGCTCTGACAGATTTCAAACTAACACGGTGCTGGGTGCAAGTTTGGTGAATGCAGGAGGTTTTCTACATGGGGAGAAGGGGACAGTTACTTGAATGTATTGGGGGGGGATTAACTTCAAAAGCGTGTGCTGGGCTCTGATTCAAGTGATACGGGGGATTGTATGTTACAGCGAGGCAAAAAGTAAATGTGTTGGTCTGTACCCTTCTCAACCTGTATTTCATGGTTCTTAATCTTGAAACTTGCAGTCATTCCACTGTCCTTCTCCCAAAAAGATGTCATTCAAAAAAATGGATCCGAGCTGCACGATAGGATTTTACTGTAGAACCGTGCAGGACTTTGAGAAGGCTTCCGAAGAGATAACGAAGGTGGGTGCCGAGGTCACTGGGCGGATTCCGTGGGCGGGGCGGGGGGAGCCCCAGCGGCCTGCTCTCCTGGCCGGTCCTGC